GCCCGCGGCTTTTTCACGCCAAAACAGTTCGCCCCGGCGCCCCCGGGCGCCCCCTAGCGCGCCGGGTTCGGCCTGGGTCCGCCGGCGCTGTTTTCGGCCCAGGCCGGCGAAAATCGGCCTCCTGGGAGCGTGATTGGGCCGTTTTTCGGTGCCGGCGCAAAAAAAAAAACGCCTGGGAAGGCCTTTTTGGGGGCGCGGCGGAAGATGCCCTAAGTATGCCTAGACTAGAGATAGTCGTTGAGAGTTCATATAAAGTTTTTAGCTGTTTCAAAACCCATCTGATCACCGCCGTGTGTTGACGAACTACAGTACATACAAAGAGTGAATCCAAGAAAATTCTCAAAAACTGTCTGGGTGTTTCAGAAATTATTTTATCACCTACTAACAGCCTTGTCTAATCGACCTTTTTTTTGCGAAACAAGAGCTATCATTAAACAGTAGCATTACAATCATTCTGCAGGCATTCAACTAGAAACCTAGGAACAAAGTTGATCCATAAACATCTCCTTCTAATCGAAGAAGCCTGCTTAGCACAAAGATGTGCCCCTTCATTAGCTCCACGCCCAATAAAGTTCAGTTGGAAAAATTCCAAGTAATCGACCTTTGGTTACGTATAATACAGGTCGAACAACCAGTCAGATGATGGATGGCAGCAAGATACAAATGTGCATATGCCCGGAGATCCCTTCATGCGAGTGGTTATGGAGGTTGACTGCAAGGAGGTAGTTGATCTGTGGGTTTCTCGCACTTTTTCGCGCTCGACGGTAGCGCCAGTTCTATTGGAGATAGAAGGACTAGCTTTATCTTTTCAGTCTTTTATTATTCAATTTGTTTCAAGAAAAGCCAATGCTCTAGCCCTCCTTTGTGCCAAGTTTGCTTGCACATTAGGGGTTACCAGCTGTTGGATGGACTCCCCTCCTAGTTTTCTCATGACTAGCGTTATGGCTGATCATGCAGGAGCTAGAGATGATTGAATAAAGTTCTCATTTCCCCGCAAAAAAATAAAAATGCCCGGAGATCCCTTCGCCCAGCTGCCCGAATAATCTGTGCTACTGTTGTTCGCATGTAGCGGGAGAGCCTTGCTTTCCGACGAGACCGCAGTGCGTGGTGGGCTGTGGCTGCCAGCCCCCTGCCTCCGCGCTCCCCTGAGCCCTGACGCCTTGGCATGGCCATGGGCAATGTGTTTTTTTCTTGCGGGTAACTGTTAGGAATGTTGTATGTCATGCCCATCATGATTCGAAATAAAAACGATGAGACGTAATAATCCTTATGCAGTTGCTTGGAAGTGTTCATTTCACTGAGGGCTCGTTTGGTGAAAACTCCGGGATCCCCGTCCAATCCCCGGAAAGAAAAGGCACGTGATATATTCACCCTGGGAATTCTGTTGGTCAATTTGATTGTGGCCCGTGACAGGAATATCTAGGCTCACTCCTGTTGAATCCCCTAGAAGGAAAAAACCTGGTAACTATTCGTTGAGATGAGTTCCCCGTCTCTCTCTTGCTGACTTTTGTTCGCAGACGCTGTCACCGCTCTCCTTGGCTTCGTTCTCGCTGCTGCATCGCTCTCCTCACCATTCGCTCCTCCCAAATGGTTTTCCCCTGAGTTTCTGTTTTGCTATGAATATTCCACCAATAATCCTAGACATACAAGGCTTTACGGGGTTGTTACGGTGATGCACTTTGTGATTCGTCAATAAACTCTCCGCCCCCCTGATTTCAGGTGGGGGGCAATCCCTCGACTAATAGCACGTCTCCAAATCATCTCCTCCGTAATCTTCTGTAAAAAAAGCTCGTACGTGTAGCATTACCGATATTCCACCCAGGGCAACTCTTTCCAGGGAACACCTCCTCTTGCGGCCAAATAAGGCCTAAGCCTAAGTAATTCAATCTCTACTACATAAAAAGAACGTAAAAGAATGTAAGGTTCATATTTCACCTCTTTTTCGTCCAATCTTCCTTATATACGCCCTACTCTTTTCTTCTCTTTGATTTTTTCCTCCCATCTCCGATTTTTCTCCCATCAATTCTCCCTAAAATAGAATCAAATGTCTCATATTTTATTAATTTACCAAAAAAACACATTTTTTGTTTGATAAGTCATTAAATTCTTACCAAATAAGTGCTTAACAATAAAATGGCAGGCAAATAATGACAATTGCATACAAAAACTTGCTAAGCTTTTAGTGCATCAATAGTCACGAGCTAATCTACTAGAATGTTTATACTCCTGTTGCAACCCACGAGCAATTGTCTAGTAAAACTAAAAAGGAGAAAGAAAATGACAAAGAAAATTTCGGCGCGAATCTTCACATAAAATCAATGACATATGACTTAGATGCGCAATATTTAGAGCACATCTAGATGTGCTTTACCAAAAAAAAATTTCTAGTGTATCATTTTCGGAAGTGTTTGCCGATGGCGATTAGGCTCGGATGTTTTGCTAAAGTGGAAAAACTCAGGTTGGGCCCATTTAAAATTAGGAAAATTAATAATGGGAGGCTAGGCCACCATCAAGTGGATGTATAGTCCCACTGAACGATATTTTCATGTCACAGGGGAGACTGGAGGTTTAATTTCTATGTATTATAAACAACTAGATAATTATCCATGTTTTGCAACATGAGTAGCAAGTTAGCCATATAAATGTGGTTGTGTTAAAAAATAATTTTATTTGGTAAACTCTTTGTTGGCAAATATGTATTCACTTAAAAAACAAAAAAACCTGGTAAGTCAGTAAGAGGTGGGGTAACTGACGCGGTTCCATAGAAAACCGGTGAAAAACCAGAGATAGGAGAACAAAAATCAAAACGGAATGAGAGAGGAAAGACAATACATAAATTTTGATGATGGAGGACCAGACGATAGAAACTTACAAATATAATAATTTTATACTTGATATAAGTTTGTCCCTTAGGGTCTAAACTATGTGGGAAATTTCCGAAACAAAAATGAACTCATATAAAAAGTAAAACATGCAACGATTATGCAGTGGGAAATTCCACTTAAAATGCACTAATACACGTCACATAGGAGTAATATATGGAGATTCTCACGACTAGCAAATCTAACATCTACGACATTTTTTATGGTATGGACACACACATTTCGGCATTCGCAACAAAAGATTAGTGTTAGTTCAGTCCTTTCAAATCTCGACCTTCATTTTTTTGTGAGAACTACCTTGACATGATCGAAATCACTAGTCTTTCTTTTTTACATACAAGATCGAAATCCCTAGGTTATTTTTAGCATTATTAGACCGAAATCACTATATTTTTTTTTGAGAAAGGATCGAAATCACTAGTTAAGGCAAAGCTATGGGCTCAGAAATTTGAGAAGTACCAAGCTGGGCCACGCCAGGGCCGTAGCTCAAGTTGCCCATCGTGTCCAATACAGCCCAAGTGCGAATGCTTCTCCGACGAACTGACGAAGTGGCAAGTGGTCCCAGCGCCGCCGCGACCCCACCCCGGGAAAACGGCGACGGCCAGCCCCGCGCCGGCGTTGATGTCGCCGCTGTCACCCGCACGGCGGCTGTCGGTCCTCTCTCTCCTTCTCCTCCTACTCATCCTAACCGCGGCGTCATCTGCGGCGGCGGCGGAGGAGGAGTTCACGGAGGAGCTGCTCCTGCGGCCGCTCCCCGACCGCAAGGCGCTGGCCCACTTCCACTTCCGCTCCTCCAAGCCTCCCACCGCCGCCTCCGGCCGCCACCACCACCTCTTTCCGAAGGCCATCTCCCAGCTGGTACGCACGCCCTCCTCAAACACAGACCCCTCCTCTCTCGCTACACGGTTCTTAGGGTTCGTCGTTAAAATTGCCCCGGGCTCGCGTTGATTGGCCGATAAGAGCGCCAGTTTAGCCATCTAATTTGAATAATCTGTCACTCCGCTGAACGCAAAGTTGAGTTCAACAGCTGCTTGTTAGTTTTTGCAGTAGATGAATCCATTGTAGCAGTTGAGTCTTGTTTGTAGAGCCAAAGGGCCTTGACCCCTATTCCATTACTGAGAATGAAACAACAGTATCTCAGCGTTTACAGCATCGTTTCTGACCGTCTGATGATTCAGAGAGTTAAGGCAAAACATCCGCTAGTGCAGTTCCAACCAATATTACCGGACATTTCTCAGCCTACAGCAGAAGAAATATAGCAAAATGATAGTAACAGCTAACTCTAAAAGTCTAAATCAGCAGCATAGAAGAGTGCGGACGATGTGCTCACCTAAGATAGCTTGCACTTTCCGCCACTTCATCGCCATCCGAGACACACCTGCTCCGGCATCTTCGACTCCAGCTTCAGTATAGTGTCGTCCCAGGTGCCTTCCATGTGATCTGGGCACAGCGGCCTCCATCTCCTGATCACTCAATACAGTTTTCGGCCACAGAACCTGCATCCCCATCCAAGTAGTTTTGCAGAAGTGAATATCATTATGATGTTTCCAAGTTGTTCCCATCACTGCTGCACATAGCACGTTAATAAAAGTATATTTGGCATTGCTCATCCAGCACGTAGTCACAGGTTCAAATTTACATCCATCTCAATTTGCATCAAATCTGATAATTCAGACCACCACATTTTAGATACGACACAACCGACAAGCAAATGGAAAATATCTTATTGTGCTCTTGATTGCTATATGCACTATCTCGGCCATTTCCCTACCTTGTTGTGGTCTAATGCCTTTGAAAAATATTCTGGTCCTCCTGAGCTATCATTAACACCATTCCTTGTCCAAACCAGGTACAAAAATTGCATATTAGTGAATTGGAACTATCTTTCACACAGGGAAGATGGAACTATGAGACATGGGGTGGATTTGATCCACTGTCAACAGATAATGCAAAACCTCCTGGTGTTGAGCTATGGGCAACTTTCGACCTCCCTTTTGCCGATATTGATGCCACATGGAAGAACCTGACGCACACATTGTCAGGCATGTTTTGTGCATCAATCAATTTCCTGGAGTCTTCCACTGCCTTCTCTGCTCCTCGCTGGGGATTTAAATTGAATGAAGGCAAACTCCGATATGGCGCATTGCCTCGTGAAGCTGTTTGCACTGAGAATCTCACGCCCTGGCTGAAACTTCTTCCATGCCGTGACAAAGCTGGCATCGCCTCTTTGTTGTACAGGCCTTCAATTTATAAAGGATATTACCATTCCCAAAAGCTGAAGCTAACATCATCCCAAACACGTGGTATTGTTCTTGATCATTCGCTCACAGTTGTGCTGCAACCAAATATGTCTAAGAGTACGCAACTACATTCTACTGATGGAAAGCTTCAGCCCAGTTGGTCCATGGAACATTTCTTCAACAGGAAATTGTTGGGGAAATGTCTTGTTTCTAAATCCAGCAGGATATTTGTAGAAATCGAGAAAGGTATACTTGTCAAATCTGGACCAGAAGTTTCTTGGAGTAATAAATTCTTTGAACTTTCCACTGCCCCAGACAGGGTGCTCAAAGAATGGGATCACTTGGAAGTTCAATCATCTTCATTGTATGAATATGATCTTAGTAACTACAATGATGATAAGCCTTTGGATGTGGGCATAACTTGGAAGCTTCCCCTCGTATGGTCTTGCTTCCCTGCACCATATAATGCAAGAAGATTTCTTATGGGTAGCGGAAACGAAAGAGGGTCTATTGCTCTGTCATTTTTATCCACTGATCTACATAAGCAATTGCCTGGCAGCTCAAATGATTGTTCGATAAAGGCTGTAGTTCTCCAGATGTTTCCATGGTATGTTAAGGTCTTCTATCACAGCTTACAGATTTTCATTGATGGGAGCAGCAAGGCTGTAACAGAAGTACTTGACATGATCCATGTCACTCCTTCAGAAGACAAACTTTCGCCTGGAACTCTGGAGATGCTGCTAAGATTTCCTTGCAGCATGCAATCAGCTACCTTGATATTGGACTTTGACAAGGTCTGCTCTACTGCTCAGTTACCTGAATATGCCATCCTTTTGGTTAGGACTTAGGACATACATTTTTTCCTGGCATTTTACTACTGCTCATGTCTTTTCTTTGTTTTCCGCCCCTTGTGCATTCTCCATTTATGATATATGCATGCAGAACTAAATATTTCTGTTTGTTTACGACAATTTTAACGAGTATATATATTTTCAGGGGTTCCTACACATAGACGAATATCCTCCTGACGCTAATCAAGGATTTGATATTCCATCAGCTTTGGTTAGCTTTCCTGACTTTAATTCTAGCCGAAGATACCCTGAAATTGACCCAATGTTTGTGTCACCTTTGTTAGAAAATTTTAAGGTAAATATAGTATTTTTTACCATCTTGTGAGTTTTAGATATTCTGCTTTGATTTTCTCATTAAGATATTATTATGCCGCAGGAAGATAATGTTGTGAAATCCTACACAGAAGTGCTGCTTGTTCCCTTGACAACTCCTGATTTCAGCATGCTGTATAATGTTATCACCTTCACTTGCACTGTCTTAGCTCTTTATATCGGCTCACTACTTAATGCTTTGAGACGAAGAATTGGCGAGGAAGAGTGCAGATTGAGAAAAGCAGGTAATTATGTACTTGGTTCATGCCTTTTCTTTTACGATGCCTTGAGCTCTTGTGTTACCAAGTAGTAATTTGCATTGTTTTGATGTTCACATGATGAGGTACTGTATGACCCCTTCATTTGGGTCTGAAACGTGAAGTTAGTTGCTCTATTTAGACAGTAGACATTATGGCGTAATGACATGTATTTCGCCTTTATAACTGAAACCTACAAACAACAGCAGCAGCAGCAGCAGCAACAACAACAAAGCCTTTCAATCCCAAACAAGTTGGGGTAGTCTAGAGTTGCAACTCATAAGATCTCGAAACCAAGTCATGGTTCTGGCACATGGATAACTATGTTCCTTCAAAACTGAAACCTGATATTGGTAAATTACTATTATAGTTTAAATGTGAAAAGAGATATGAGATATTCTGCGCATTACGATTGCTCATACTATTAACTACTAAAAATAATAATTTATATGCTTATGGCAATCACATTCCTTCCTAGCAATGCGGAGAGTCAGAGAGAAACCATTGATTTCTTTTCTTACATGCATGCTAGCTGCAATCGAATAGTTTTTCCCTGTTAACATGTATCGGAAACAAGGTGTTCTTCTGAGACTGGTTAGATTTAGCGGAAATAGTTCAGTTTGCATGTTATTCTCTTCCATTTAATTGCAGTTGTATTTGCTGGTCTCAGCTGTTCCTATTTCCTCTGATTACACTGGGACATGAACAAACTGCAGAGTTACAGTAGTATATCTGGCCAATAGTTACGATGTTCATATAGTTATGTCGTGGCATTGATCCTTCCACCCAGTTCCTTCTAAGACTGGAGTGATAGTCATAGGGGTGGCTACACTAAAAGTGATTTTTGCTGATACAGTAATGCCACTGAAACTTATTGTACCGACCTTGCACATTTCTGTATGCGCGAGCAACCTCACTTTGATCTTTATTCTTGTATACTCACATCTAAGTTGTTATTTCGCCATTACAAGTGTTGACTTCTCAAATTTGAACAATGTTCTAACTAATCTCAATTCTATGACAGCCGTGAAGCCTGCACTCATTCCTCTGTTGCTAGCTAGGCTAAGGGGTCACAAGGTGGACCCATCAGAGTCAGAATCCTCTCCTGCATCTCCAGTAGGGTTAAAGCTACTAGTCAAGGTTGCACTTGTTGCGGCAGTAGCTGTTGTGTTTCACTATCTGTCAAACAGTTGAGAACACTTTTGAGCTAGTTATAGAGCACGGTGATATATTTTTGTTGATCTTCTGTAGCCTATGGCACTGCCTGTAGAGGTGCTTGCGTCGGGGTCATCTTTTTTGTTTCATTATGGATGCTTAACTGTCCTCTCATTGCAGCCTGCACATCATTTTTTTTTACAATAACATGTACAAATATTAGCCAGCAAATGTGCTTACGGCATTCACGAAAATTGGAGACGCAAAACTAGGAGGATCATCAAGCTGGAGCTAGCAGATTCTTGTCTCATGGCCAGTGCTCAAAGATCATTTTGACAAAATCCATTGACACATGATAACTATTCTCATATATTGCTGCCGCTGGGCCTCATGAGTCATGATTATCCACCGTCATGCATGGTGGCGATCACACCCAAGCAATCTGACTGAACATCCAACCGACTACACCTAATCGACAAGGCCAGCTGAACGCCTTGTCTCAATAGTCGCCTTAGCCATCTGGGCATCCAGAAACCTGGACCAACTGACCATTCATAGCAGGTATAAATCGCCCTTCCTCATCTTGCAAGATTGCTAAAAGCAGCATTCATGTTGAGTTTCTGAAAAGTTTGCAGTGGACAAGAACAATCCCCTTCTTTTCAATTTGGATATGCTTCTTCATTGTTCATGCATTAGTTGCTATCCCACACATTGCCATGAATGTTTTGGCACCTTTCCCACCAAATGAACCAACCTGCGGTTGCTGCCGTCTCCTGTAACCTGATTTCGTCGTTCATAGGGGGTCTTCATATCACGTGAGCAAAGCAGATGTAACACCAATTGATCTGCTTTTTTTTTTTTTTTGGAGATCATCATCAATTGATCTGCTGATACTGGTGCTACTAACCATATTACCCGGGAGCTCAAAAGTTGACCATATTACCAGTTCGACAATGCCAGCAGGTATGAGATTTGTTTATGTTGGGCATTCTATTATTCTTACCCTTGTCACACATCTCCAATTGAAAATGCCCCTCTTCATGTTCATAAGGCCAAAAAGAACTTTGTTTCCATTCGTCGTTTAGCTTTAGATAGCAAATCTTTCTTTGCAATTTCATCCCTTTTCGTAATTGGTAAAGGATCATGTGTCTGGTAGATGTTAGGTTAGGCTGAGTATCTCCTTCATGTTCCTAAGGCCAAATTGAACCTTGTTTCGGTTCATTGTTTAGCTTTAGATTACACACTTTTACTAGCAATTAAGAAGGTGTGAGACCTGAGTTCGAACCGAAGTTTGAACCGGCGCCGGCTAGGAGGCAACACTGCTCTCTGACCACTGGTCAAATATTCTGATAAATGGGACGGTTAATGTTTACATAAGAAAGAAAACAGTACAATGCGCGCGCTACAAACTATGAGCAGCTCTCCACACCGTCAAATACTAGGCAAATTCAGAACCACCGAAAATCCCCCTGGACATGGACAGAATGAGAACACGACAATCAGGAACGTGTGATTTCTGCACCCAATTCTTACTTTCCGGCTTGACCCGTCTTGCCTTGCAGAACATGAATTAATCCGTCCAGATTGGCCTCCGAGGGGCCACCTGGCAGCGTCGCCAGCGCGGCCTTCTGCTTCCACTCCGCGGCGCGGTGGCGCATCTCCTCCCCCTTCTCGCCCTCCATGGCCTCATGTATCATCGTCGCCACCTCCGCCCGCCGCACCTCGCCGCCGATCTCCATCCCCACACCCCACTCCGTGCGCTTGTACCAGCAGTTGGTCTGCTGCTCCGCAAAGAAGGCCCAGCTCAGCATCGGCACGCCGGCGCAGAGGCTCTCTAGCGTCGAGTTCCACCTGGAGTGCGTGAGGAACACACCAACGGCCTCATGCTCGATCACGACCTCCTGCGGGCACCACGTCGGGAGAAGACCGCGGCCCTCGATGGCGGCCTGGAACTCCGGCGGGAGCACCGCCGCGTCGCCCTTGACGAGGTCGGGCCGGACGTTCCACAGGAAGGGGTAGCCGCTGTTGGCCAGCCCCCACGCGAACTCCAGCAGCTGCTCGTTCGTCATCACGGTGATGCTGCCGTAGTTCACGTATACGACGGAGCGCGGCGGCCGGGAGTCGAGCCACTCGATGAGGCCATCCTGCTCCTTCCACAGGTTGGACCCGACGCCGACACCGAGAGGGGAGCCCGCGGGGACGAGCCGGCGGACGTGGAGGAGGAGCGGGCCGAGGGTGTAGACGGGCGGGAGGATGGCCTGCATGGCGTCGAGCGCCGGCTTCTCGAGGTCATCGAATGTGTTGATGATGACGGCGTCGGGCAGTGTCAGACGCGCGGACTCACGGATGAGGAAGTTGAGCATGATGTCGTCGCGGTCCGTGGTCCGGATAAAGCTCGGGAAGTCGCGCAGCTGGAAGCCGTTGCACAGGCCCGGCACGCCGTCGACGACCGTGTTCAGGTAGCCGTCCATGAGCTGCGCCTCGTCCTTGAGCGGCACGAGCCCGTCCTCGACAAGCTGCTTGTAGTGGTTATACGCCATGAAGCCGCAGGCGCTGGCCGTCCACAGTGCGGCGCACGGCACGCCGATCTCCTTGGCGGCCTCGTAGGCCCATGACATGATGCCATCGCAGAGGACGCATGTCACAGGCGGCACACCGGAGGCGGGGTTGTTGAGGCGGTTCAGGATGGCGCTGAGGTGGGGAAGGCAGGTGGTCATGGTGGAGCGGCAGAGCGCCGGGATGTCCTGGGTGGCGTCAGGGTCGGACGGCGGGAGGCCGTCGGGGACGGCGGCGAAGTCGAAGCCGGGGCAGGCGGTGAACGCGGCTGTGCCGCGCGACCGGAGGAGGCGGGCATAGTTGAACTCAGTGAGGACGAAGGTGACGTGGAAGCCCCGGGCGTGCAGCAGCTTGGCCACCTTGAGCATGGGCGTGATGTGGCCCTGCGCAGGTACGGGACGCACACCGCGTGCGGCTTCTGCGCCGGATCGGTGGACGCCATGGCCATCATGATCACTCTATCAGTTGCACAAACAAATCACACACTACACACCAGCAAGAGCAAAGTGATCTGTTAATCGGCTTGCTTGCTGCTAACTACTCCGTGGCTGTGATGATAACGGCAGAGTTGAAAGCATACTTATAGGGGCGGCTAAGCTCAACCGTTGGATACGCGATAGTTTATAGATGTTGGATATACTTAACAAGTTACAACTTGGTGTATCGCTTGTGATGTGGGGCCTCCATGTGCGTCGCCATGAGAGGCAGGCCGGCAGGCAAAGTTGACGAAGCTTGTTTTTTGAGAAAACAAAATCTTGATTGGGTGTTGGGTGCAGAGGAATAACGGCAGAGTCCTGCATCGCCAGTAGGGTTAAAGCTACTAGTCAAAGTTGCACTCGGTAGTAGCTGTTCTGTTTCACTATCTGTCAAACAGTTGACAGCACTTTTGAGCTAGTTATAGACCACGGTGATCTCTATATTTTTGTTGATCTTCTGTAGCAAATGGCATTTGCCTGTAGAGGTGCTTGCGTCTGGGTAATCTTTTTATTTCATTATGGATGCTTAACTGTCCTTTCATTGCAGCTTGTACATCATTTTCTTTACAGTAATATGTACTTATATTAGCTAGCAAACATGCTTATGCCATTCACCAAAACCGGAGACACAAAATTAGGAGGATCACCGAGCTGGACCTAGCAGAATCTTGTCTCGGCCAGTGCTCAAAGATCATTTTGACAAAATCCGTCGACATATGATATGATAGCAGTCCTCATATACTGCCGCCGCTGGGCCTCACGATTGTCCACCGTCATACATGGTGGTCATCACATCCAAGCAATCTGATTGAATCATGATCCGATTGCACCCAATCGACAGGGCCAGCTTAAAGTCTCGTCTCAATGCGGTCACCTGAGCCATCTGGGCATCCAGAAGAGGGACCAAGGCCCAGTTCTTTTGCCAGAATCTGGGGATTCTCCCAGAATCCGACCCTTACCCAGCTTCTCCCAGAATGGGGCTCAAAGATTCTGTGAGAAGCTGGGTAAGGGTCGGATTCTGGGAGAATCCCCAGATTCTGGCAAAAGAACTGGGCCCAAATGACCTTTCATAGCAGGTATGAGCTCATCTTGCAAGACTGTTCATGCTCCTCCTATGTCAAAAGAAACATCCATGTTGAGTTTCAGAAAACCAGGGACCCGAGAATGCCAATATTAGCACGAATCGTACGGAATTTGGAAAAAAACGAAGAATAGATCGCTACCCCTCTTTGTTTAGCATTCAAATCACCCGTTGGCTCCTTCTAGACTGTTCTGCTTCTTGTCAATTCAGATCTGCTTCTTCATTGCTCATGTTACATTAGTTCTTAGTATCACACATATCACCTAAGTAGACCGGCTAGGTTTTTGAACCTGCTTGCCATGAACTTGTTGGCGCCTTTCTCACCAAATGTACCAAGCTGCAGTTGCTGTCCTCTCCTGTAACCTGATTTCGTCGTTCATTGGGGCCTTCATATCAGGTGAGCAAAGCAGATGTAACACCAATTGATCTGCTGATATTGGTGCCACTGACCATATTTACCCGGGAGCTCAAAAGCTGACGGTATGGGTCTATGGGATATGTATAGTGTATACCTGGCCATGGGATACCTGGCCCGACCCGACCTGACCTAGCCCAGTCTTGCCCGCAGGCTGGGTCTGGGCCTAGGTTTTGAGCCCAAAGGTCGTGCCGGGTTGGGCTTGGGCCTGCCATATTTGCTATTTAATGAGGATCCCGGGCCTGAGGCCCGACAGGCTTTTGCAGTGATGGGCTGGGTTTGGGCCTGATTTTTTAGGCCTGATGTCTGGGCCGGGCCGGGCCTGAGCCTGTTTTTTTTTGCTTCGGGCTTGGTTAGGCCCGGCCCAGTCCGAGGGATGGCCAGGTATAGTATAGTGGCAATGACCAGGTCAACAACGCAACATGTGCAGGTATGAGAATTGATTGCGTCGGTCATTCTATTATTCCTACCCCTGTTACAAATCTCCAGTTGAAATATCACCTTCATGTTCCTAAGGCCAAAGGGAACCTTGTTCCTGTTCATCGTTTAGATTTACTAGATAGCAAAGCTTTCTTTGCAATTTCATCCCATTTCCTAGTCGGTAAAGGATCATGTGACTGCAAAAAAATCGTCATCGAGGTAGATGTTACGCACGGTAGGCCGTATCACTTGTTGGCTGTCGCCCAGTCATTCTTCTAGAAGATTGGCGTTTGGCGCGTTCAAGCCCTCGACTTCCCATTGGCACTGGTCGCTAGGCCATCTCCCTTCGCCGTTCAACACGGTCTTAGTTAAAAATAGTCTCGAGTTTTATAGTTTGTGATGCATGTCAAACAATCCCGTAACTTGCGTCCGTAGTGGGATTTCCGTAAGTCTAGCATTTTTGGCCAATACTGGACGCCGGTGTTTGTGTCTTTGATTTTTGACACCCATGTCCCCCGCGGCCGACGCGGTCGAGTCCTCATCATATGGCGAGTCAAGCTCCAAACTCATGTACATTGAGAATCTAAGTTTTGAATTTGCGCGGAGAATCTAGCCGGCACGCTCTTTTCACATCCACATGAGCTGGTGTTGTCTTTCTGGCGGCCTATTCGTCCAGTTTATGATGCGGATGTTTTGAGGAACCAATCGGTGCAGCAGGGTATAGTGCAGGGCAAATATTCTGACAAATGGAGTGATTTTATGTTGACGTAACAAACAAAACAGAACAATGCGTGCGCTACAAACTGAGAGCAGCTCTCCACATCTATCATCAAATAGTAGTACGTACTACTAGGCAAATTCAGAACACGATTGAAATCAGGGACGTGCGATTTCTGCACGCACCAATTCTTACTTTCCGGCTTGACCCGTCTTGCCTTGCAGCACATGAATTAATCCGTCCAGATTGGTCTCTGAGGGGCCACCTGGCAGGGTCGCCTGCGCGGCCTTCTGCTTCCACTCCGCGGCGCGGTGGCGCATCTCCTCCCCCTTCTCGCCCTCCATGGCCTCCCGTATCATCGCCGCCACCTCCGCCCGCCGCACCTCGCCGCCGATCTCCATCCCCACGCCCCACTCGGTGCGCTTGTACCGGCAGTTGGTCTGCTGCTCGGCGAAGAAGGGCCAGCTCAGCATCGGCACGCCGGCGCAGAGGCTCTCCAGCGTCGAGTTCCACCCGGAGTGCGTGAGGAACACGCCCACGGCCTCATGCTCGATCACAACCTCCTGGGGGCACCATGTCGTGAGAAGGCCGCGGCCCTCGATGGCGGCCTGGAACTCCGGCGGGAGCACCGCCGCGTCGCCCTTGACGAGGTCGGGCCGGACGTTCCACAGGAAGGGGTAGCCGCTGTTGGCCAGCCCCCACGCGAACTCCAGCAGCTGCTCGTTCGTCATCACGGTGATGCTGCCGTAGTTCACGTATACGACGGAGCGCGGTGGCCGGGCGTCGAGCCACTCGATGAGGCCGTCCTGCTCCTTCCACAGGTTGGACCTGACGCCGACGTCGAGAGGGGAGCCCGCGGGGACGAGCCGGCGGACGTGGAGGAGGAGCGGGCCGAGGGTGTAGACGGGCGGGAGGATGGCTCGCATGGCGTCGAGCGCCGGCTTCTCGAGGTCGTCGAAGGAGTTGATGATGACGGCGTCGGGAAGCGACATGCGGCCAGACTCACGGATGAGGAAATTTAGCAGGATGTCATCGCGGTCCGTCGTCCGGATGAAGTTCGGGAAGTCACGCAGCTGGAAGCCGTCGCACAGGCCCGGCACGCCGTCGACGACCGTGTCCAGGTACCCGTCCGTGAGCTGTGCCTCGTCCTTGAGCGGCACGAGCCCGTCCTCGACAAGTTGCTTGTAGTGGTTGTACGCCATGAAGCCGCATGCGCTGGCCGTCCAGAGCCCGGCGCACGGCACGCCGATCTCCCTGGCGGCGTCGTAGGCGAAGGACATGACGCCATCACAAAGGACGCACGTCACCGGCGGCACGCCGGAGGCGGGGCCGTTGAGGCGGGCCAGGATGGCGTTGAGGTGGGGAAGGCAGGTGGTCATGGTGGAGCGGCAGAGCGCGGGGATGTCCTGGGTGGCGTCGGGGTCGGACGGCGGGAGGCCATCGGGGATGGCGGTGAAGTCGAAGCCGGGGCAGGCATCAAACACGGCCTGGCCGCGCGATCGGAGGAGGCGCGCGTAGTTGAACTCGGTGAGGACGAAGGTGACGTGGAAGCCCCGGGCGTGCAGCAGCTTGGCCACCTTGAGCATGGGCGTGATGTGGCCCTGCGCCGGGTACGGGACGCACACCGCGTGCGGCTTCTGCGCCGGATCGCTGGACGCCATGGCCACCATGATCACTCGATCGATCAGTGGCACACCAGCAAGAGCAAAGTGATCTGCCAATCGGCTTGCTGCCAACTACTCCGTGGCAGTGATGTGAACAGTAGAGTTGAACGCATACTTATAGGAGGAGTTAAGCTCAGCCCGTTGGATATACTCCTAGTACTTAACAAGTTCTTGCATCGCTTGTGATGCGGGGCCTCCATGTGCGTCGCCATGAGAGGCAGGCCGGCAGGCAAAGTTGACGCAGCTTGTTTCTTGAGAAAACAAAATCGTGATTGGGTGTTGGGCTTCCTGATCTTCGGGGCACGGAGTGCATGGCCTGCTGATTGTTTTATATGGCGGCTCACGGAGCGCATGGCCGGTTATTTATGCTGGTCGCCACATGATTCGATGCTCTCGATCGGAATCGGATCCGCCGGATGCGCGGCGATGGGATTTTGCCGGTGCGCCGTGCTGTCTTGGTCTGGCGCAAGCCGTTGAGCCCGGGCAACTTGCAAGTACAGTAACCGGCTCCCACTGCAAGGCCACATGGTGCGCGCAAAGCTCTTAGCTCACGGCCTGGGGTTAGGATTCGCCAAGGATTCAGACCCTTGGAAACAGCTGGATTTTGGGGATATTAAGAACTGAAATGTGTTATTAGTCCATTAACTTGAATTGATTACACGCTTTAGGCCAACAATTCATGAATTGATCGATTTAGGTCATAAACTCGCTAATTTGATCAAATAAGGCTAAAATCGATTCTCAGGGGGAGGAGGGGTGATCGGCTACGTGGCTGCTGTGTTTTGATTTTCGGTTTGAGCTTTTTTTCGCCCTAGGCCGAGATGGCCGAATTTCGGCCATTTTTAAAAATTTCGGCTGAAATTTGACCAAATTTTGACTGCAATTTGACTTAAATTTGACCAAATTTTGCCAAATTTAAGCAATTTCGGCCTAAATATACTTTTCGCCCTAGGCTGAGATGGCCGAAATTCGGCCGAAATCCACTTTTTTCGGCCGAAAATCAAAACACAGCGTGGCTGCCATGTCAGTGTTCCTTGGACCACGAGCGAACTAACTTTTTTTTTTGCATGGATCTGTTTGCAAACTGACCAGGTTTCCCTCGACCTGTGGATGGGTGGTTATAGGGAATGTGGTATCTCCAGCCCACAAGAGTTTAAATCCTGGTGCTCGCATTTATTCCTGAATTTATTTCAGAATTTCCGGCGATGCGCATTTAGTGGGAGGAGACGTCGAGGTGCGTACGGTGACTTCGTAAATTTCAAGATGATATGCCGGCTCAGTCTTTCAGAGGTGCTCATAGGGGTAGAGTGTGCGTGCGTTCATAGGGATGAGTATATGCGCGTGTATATGCGCTTGTGTCTGTACTGATGTTTTTTTTTAAGATATAAAGGAAAAAAATACGTATTGCATGGGACTCAAACGGTCAAACCCACAAACTTTGGAGTTAGCAATCAGCTTGCCAACCACTAGAACACTAACTGATTCATGTGCTAACATGCAGCCAACTCCATATATGCATTTCACTTTTTTTATTTAAGTACCTTGAGTTGTCCCATGGTGCAACTTGCGTTGCTAATTGGTCAATACATATATGGCATCCACTGAGAGCATATGGAGAGTAGACTTTGACGGAGTTTGGTGTTAACTTGTGGCAACGTCCAGCGCAGAATCATGAGATCCCACCCGATTGATTTACTTCTATGGCGCCTCCATGGCCATGCAGAGACGCCCAGAACTTAGGGCACTCCTAGAGTTGGTCAAACTTAAGCAAGTTTGATTTTGGACAAACCTAGAACTGTAATCATTTTGGAACGAAGGGAGCATGATACTACTACCCACTGCGAGATTAGTGATGACTAATTTATATTCCTGGGGCTGAAAATCCTAGATTAACATCTCTTTGTGCAGCTCAGGCAACGTCAGTCGATGCACTTGCGTTCTTCTCTTTCTAAAGGTGTTTGCTCGAGGCGGTGATAACTTTGGGGCTGACCTCTTGACTAATTCAGCAACATCGACGTATGAGTGGTGATCGCTTGTTAAATGTGTTGCCCTGTTATGCTATTGTTTTGATGGATTGATCCCTGACAAATAGGCTTTTGGCATAGATGATGGAGATATTGGCAGTCCCAACGACAAAGCCGAATATGGAGAGATCGGTGGCCTTGCTCTTCTTCTTATGAAAGAAAAGAAAATTCACATTATATTTTTGTTGCTGGATTGCATGCGTACGTGTTTGTGAGATAGATCAAAATCATTTTTAGCAAAGATTAAAGCCATTTCTAAATTTGTCATTCTTTACAGGAGGAGATCTACACCATGAGGAATACAAGATCACTTGTACGTATCTACAGTCTACTCCTATTTGCAGGCTACATGTACTCTCGGGCTCTTGGCGTTGTCTTCATTTCAATCACCGTGGGGGTTGAATCTTTCCAAGAGTACATCATGAATCAACGTGTCCAAACTAACCTCCACGGGTCTGCTTGGCAGTGTCGCCCGCACGGCTCTTTTACTTCCACTCCGTCGCACACTTCCTCGTCTCCCGCCCTCTCTTCCTCTCCATCACCTCCCGTATCATGGCTGTGAGCTCTACCCCTTTCATCTGGTCGCCGATCTCCATCCTATTCCCCCAATCGGTGCACTTGTTCCAGCAGTTGGGTTGTTGCTCCACGAAGAACGGTCAGCTCGGCATTGGCACGCCCACGCAGACACTCTCCGAGCCGAGTTCCACTTCCAGCGGGGTGCGTCAAGAAAAACCCCACCGCCTCGTGCGCAATCGCCTTCTCTTGCGAGCAACATGTTGTCAGCATAGAGCGACCGCTTGGCCGAAAGGAATTCGGGCTGTAGCACGGCTAGGTCGCCCTTAACAAGGTCCGGACGGATATTCCATATGAACGGGTGGTTGCTGTTGGCAAGCCCCCACATGAACTCGAGAAGCTCCGCGTTCGTCATGATAGTGATGTTGCCGTAGTTGACGTATACGACGGAACTGCCTCCACTCCAGGAGGCCGTCCTGCTCCCTCCAAAGGTTGCACCCAAGGCCGTCGAGGAAGGTACTACGAGGCTAGCGTAGCGATGGAGCGGGCCAACTGTGTATATCATCCAGGATTGGCCCCTCGAGTTCATCTAAGGTGTTGAGCAACACTTCGGTTGGGATTGATAACCATTCAGCCATGTACATGATGAAGTTTAGCAGCACGTCCTCGCGGTCTATCGTACATATGAAGTTGGGGAAGTCGCGCAAGCACATGCCATTACACATGCATGCTCTGCACGCCGTGCACCACGGTGTCGAGGTATTCCTTGTCTGTGACTTGTTTACTACTCCTTTGGATGGGAATGTAAGTTGGGAGTTGGGCATAGGAATTTAGGTCATCGATTGAACTAGCTCAACATGTATAGTATGTCGAAAGAAAATGTATTTAGAAAGTTCATTCAAAGAAGAATCTAGCTAGGGATGTGATTTTTATGGCGTACAACTTATGTTTCGCTAGTCAAATCAAGGACCTAGAAACCCGACTTATTTCCCATTCGAAGGAACAGCATGCAGTATCGACGAAGCCAACTAAAATGCGGTCGACGCTTGGTCATTTGCTTCATGAGAACTGTTTTTAGGGAATATATATGCACAGATATCAGTAAGATATATCTTTTCACTTTTATTAGGTCACATAAAAGTTGAAAACCGTAGCCTAACTTCTGAATTATTTTGCAGTACTGCGTTGGTCGTTCCTTACCTTTCCCGCTAGAGTGCTAGTTACTTAAACGATGTTACACGTATACATTTTTTTCTGGAGTGGAGGGATACGTTACACGTACAATTAATATGGAAAGACGCTGTGGTTTCTGTACTACCAACAAGGTTAAGGGCCTGTTCGATTTCTCTCCACTCCCGCGACTCAGCTCCCGGAGCGGAACAAGCTGCTGCAGCTTTTTGTGGAGCAGCTCAAACCGAGCTCCGCAGCTCCGCAGAGTTGAGCGGAGTGGAGAGAAACCGAACGGCGCCTAAATATAACATGTAAGCGAATTATATCAGCTGGAAAATGAAGCGGAACTGCTCCTCAAAACCAGTCGTAAGCAACAGTAGCAGAACTAAAAGGAGCTAGGACAAGCAAATGAAGTTTGAACTACAAAAACGTCTTGTATTATAGTATAGAGGTAGTAATACTGTAGCTACAGCCTACACTGAGGGCTAAAACATCGCCACTTTTGCGTCCGACGTCGGAAGAAGCTTGGCTCATGATTCTCAGAAGAAAAAAAAACACATCTGTACATGCAGGCTTATATATAACGCACGGTTTGCACACCTGCCCAGGCAAAGGGGAGCATTGCTTCATTGCTTGATATATATGCCATAAAAAAACAGAAGAACAGCCGGTCTAAGTGAACTAGCCAAATATAGGTGCAGTGCAACAGCCATCCATGCATTACAAAATAAGCCCCTGTATGCAGATTATGCCCTGCAATTCAATCCAATGAGAAGCCACTGCTGTTAGACGTAATTGAAACATCTACCTTTGAGACCTACAAAACAAAAGGTTACTATGATGAAAAAGCAGGCGTGCAGTTTGGTTCAAATGTTAGTCCAAAAAATGAGCAAAACTACACTAACATGTTAAGCTGAAGTTCTGTAACCAAGGAATGTAGTTCAAGAACAGACACTTTACTGGGCACAAGCGTTGGCATGTCATATGGATGTGTAAATGTTAAGTCACAAGTATTGAGCATTCGCCTATCAGTTTGCATGGTATGCAAGACAGCAGAAATATAATGTAGCTTCAGTGAGTTTTGATTTATTAGTAGTACAACTAAGACGTCATAATCCAACAGGTTTAAGTGGTGTCTTTTTCTCAGTCTCATAGATCAGGTAATTATGGAAAATATCAACTTCCCACGGCAGCAATATGTTTAGTTTCTAGTCAATCTAATTATATGATATCCTTAAATAAACTTAAATCTTATATTATCGTTGCATGTACGTTACAATCATGAGAAAA